ATTGAAAAGTCCCTAGCATGTCAGATCGGCGCGCGCGCGCGCATGCGTAGGTTACACACTCATCATCATCGGCTACGTTCAAGCGACTTCTCGCCGAACTGGTCGCGGTCGTCGCGGCAACCAATCAGAAGGCGCACGCGTGCGATCGTGCGGTACGTTAGCACGCGGTGTGGCGCGGCGCGCCGTCGAACTGCGGGCTGCGGGAGCGTGTGTGTCGCGCGAGGCAAGCGCGTATTCACGCTGCGGTTATACGTATGTGCGCATCTCCGTGCCGCCGTTGCCCGCCGTCGACGTCGGCGTTGCCCCGGTACGCCGCTTTGGAGCGTAGCAACGGCCGCGCGCCGCGGATTCCGGGTGTGCGCCGCGGGGCCGCGTGCTATCACCGTCTGCGATATTCGCGTGTGCGCGAAGAGCCAGCAACAGCTCGTCGCGGCCAGTGACAACATTTATTTTCGATACGATCGTGAAGGGACAGTGGGAGAGCGAGAGGAAGAGAAACAGAGAGAGAGAGAGAGAGAGAGAAAGGACGGGAAGGAGAAACAGAGACGAAAGAAGCCTCCACGAATTGCTGTAACGCAATCTGCGGGGTGTCCGCGAGTGCACGCACGTTCAGGACAGCTAGCGTGAGCAGGTAAAATGGACTAGGGAAAAGTCGTTTACTTGCAGGAGGAATGGCAGTTTCGCATTCAGTCATGAGATTATGTGTAACCGCGCCATAATTGCACGGGTCTTTTAACGGGCGAGAGAGAGGGAAAGAAAGAGAGAATGAGCGAGTGTGAACGAGCGAGCGAATGAAAAAAAAGGAGAACGACGAGGAGGGAGCGATTGCGAAGGAAAGAGAGAGAGAGCGAGAGCGAGAGAGAGTGAGGAAACTCGGTGGATAAAACGAAGCGAGAACGAACGCGGCAGCTTGGGGAGTAGCTTGAAGGGGGGAAGGAGAGGCAGAGAGGGGGGGGAGAGTTTCTCCGTCAAAATGTCGCTGAAAACGCCAACGCGGATACAGTGATGTTGCTACTCGCCTAACTCGGATCACGTCTCCCTTCGAGCCCTCGAGCATCGCTCTCTTTCTCTCCCGTTCTTGCTCTTCCCCCTAAACTCCCCTTTCCCTCTCCCTCTCTCTCTCTCTCTCTCTATCTCCCAATTGGGTTCTCTACGAGAGCGGCTCTACGGTCTTGTAGCGAAGAGAAAGAGAAGATCGCGGGTGCATCGATTACTCGCGCGCACAGGTCACCCGGTTTGTTTCCCCACATTTGTTTCTCTACGCGCGTCGTCGTTCGCGTCTCGTCTTTGGCGGCGGGATACCTCTCTCTCCCCTTCCCCCTCCTTCCACCCCTCCGCCCTCCCCTCCGCTACCGTTGCCCGTTTCCTCGGGTTCCCTTACAAGGGCGACGGGTTCCGGGGGAGGCACCTCGATCGTGAATCCTCGCGCTTCCCGATATCACGCTCCAGGTATACTGTTGACGGTGGCGGAAGGCTAGCCTCCTTCACTTCCACGATAGACGCTCGGACAGTATGTACCTTCTGCATTCACGGTGAAATCGGCCTCGTCACACTCGACACCAAACTCGACTCCGACCTTTTGTTCGCGCTGCGCGCCTCGGTCTCTTTCCCTCCTTCCTTTTATATCCGCACCTCCCCTCGCGGTTAATACTCGCAACCGTTAAACGTTCGCCTTCGTACCGATACCCAGCCTGAATTAATAGTCGGCCGCGGCTTAGGTAGTCAGACTTGACATTCGGCGTCCTCATTGGATCGTCAACTCCGATCTAGCGATCGGGAATCCACGCACGGACATGCACGGAGTCGTCACCCTTACGAGTGAGCCTTTCTGTTTTTCGAAGTGACGACGGAAAATTTCGAATCCTGTCGACCACGGTGCCGATGCCGATACGATAAAAAAAAAAATGGACTCGATTCGAGTGCGGTAATCACTGATCAGTGAAGACCACAAGTAACCGTTGCTCAGCATCTCGCTCAGCATCTTTACGCAATGATTCGCAAAAGTGCCGTTCTCCTTTCGAACTCTCCGTCTAATATCTGCCGAGTCTTCTTCCGAATTTCCTGCCGATCCCGTTTCTTGATCGAAACAGTCGGGTGACCCCAAAAGATCCCGGTCGAAGTAATCGGAGCATTCGCAACGAGCAGGTGATCGCGCGATCGTTTTCTCCTCGAGATACCGCCCTACGAATAATTCACAGCGAATGTGAAAACGCTTCGTCAGAATGAACCTCGTGACGAAGCGCGCGTCCCGCTCACGTAAGAATCTAAGAATCGTCGTTCTAACAGCGAATTCGAATTTGGAATATCATCGGATGTTCCGCGCGATCCATGCCCGGTCTTGTCTCATCGTTGGATGATTATGTTCGATTGGTGTTTCGAGTGCTTGCACAACACACATTTGTGTAATTGTCTTCAGACTCTTGATATACCTTGCTGAAGAAAGTTCGTTGATTTGGAATCGGGATTCGCTATTTAAACAAGTTCTACGAAAAGGAAACAGTTCGCGCAAAACTTCATTGTTTGTTGTGGGTAAAATAAAACACTTTAGTGACACGAATACATTATGGAGGCTATATCTAGAATGATTAACCTCCCTGTGTTTTATATTTTCCAAGTCATGAATTGTAACTATAATTAATGCATATTTAATCTCCTTCATTAAGTAAAGAGACGCTAACACAAATGATATGTTAATGATAAAAAATGTGTATTTGCTTGAAACTTATCGGTACTTTTTTCTAAAAAATTACAAAAATTATTTTTCGTGTCAAAACACTGTTTATCAGGATTTATATAATAATAATATTCAGCTATTGTAGGAATGTCATTCCTAAAAAATATGTTAACATGTTTTTTATTATAAAATATTTGTTATGTAATCTCTTTTAAAACTTTTACGAATAAAATATGAAAAAATTATATATACACAGCATATCTGTTTATCTAATTCTGACAGAGAACTAATGTCATGTATATTTTTGAATCGTATTTCGTATATATTATTATTCATATATATTATTATTTCGTATATATTATTGTTAAAGTGAAAGAAATATGTTTGTTTTATTTCAGGTTCTGGATAAACTCGTTTATTGAAAAATAAAAAAAATGGTGTCGACACGTCAATCAAGTAACATGGGGAGTAGTGGTAACAGTGGATTAGTTGGTGAAGTAGAAGTAAATTCGTTAAAAAAGCAACCTTCTGTAACAGCTGGCACATCCAATAATGGGGCCACCATTGAATCGCGCAACTTGAATCTTCTGGATTTACCTGTCGAAGTCCTTGAGAAAATCTTTGGCTATCTAGGTTTCAATATGGTAGCCCATATGCGTTTGGTAAGCATTTGGCAATAAATTCAAAGTGTTTAATTCACTTTTCCTAGTGGAATTACTATAGCAAACATTTTATTCATAGGTTTGCCATCAATTGGATCGCATTTGTGGATCAATGCTGAACTCTACGTTTCAAAAGCTACAAGCTCAAATGTTAAGCCGTTTTCAGGCTATCAAAGCGCAAATGCCCAGACGCGAGTCTGCGCGTCGAAATCATCCGTTAGCATGCGAGTCGGATATTATTGAAACTCTACATATGCGACTTACCTTGCTGCAAATGAGTTTCGGCAAGCACATTGAACGGAAGCATTGCTGCTTCTTCCCTGGCGAGGTAAGAGATGTAAAATAAAAACTAATGTTATATATTAGACTACTGGCACTAGTAAGATTAAATTTATTTAAACTTTTTTTAAAATATTTTTTTTTTATGTTTCTTAGATATTCCCAGTTTTTTGAATGCATTTTTTTGCCATTATATGCCATCATGTAGAAAATAAGTATAGGTATACTAAATTTGTTAGCAATAGTTCTTCTTAGAATAATCTTTTACAATATTAGCTCTTTTACTTTTCAAGTTTTCCATAATTATATTCAAATCTATAAAAGCATAGAAACGGCAATAAAAATAGTATTGCTGTTTTACAGATTTTAGATGAAGTTTATCGCATTCTCCATTATATAAAAGTTACTCCGAAATTACAAAGACCTTACAAAGTCACAGACGAATTATTTGATCTGAGCACTATGGCTATGGAATATTTCAAGGAACACATTGAACCAACATTACCAGAAATACCTTACTTCGGTGCCGACTTTCTGGATCTTGCAGGGACATTCTCTTGTAAGCTGATAATTCAACATTTATACCTTTGTAATATAATTTTATTGTGAATTTTATTGTCGCAGCTTCTAGTAGCGTGAGTAAACCATTTATGTGCCTGGATTCCACACCCTTGACCATTGGAAATGGAAAAACGGGCAATGCTGGTGAAGAAGAAGGTTCTTCGTCGCATTGTTCAGATGATCCCGCTCTTTTGGAATCCAATGTATCACCACCACAATCGAACATGGTTTTGCGAAAACGAATTCGCAAGATTAAACAGGGCATGAGACGATACAACAGTCAGTTAACATTGATGCGTAGGGATTTGAAGAGTTGCAAGGCGAAAATTGCGGATCAACAGAAACAAATCGTAGAATATGCTACTCGATTGGATGATAATGACAAGAAGAATGAGGAGACGTCACGAAAATTCAGCACACTTCTACAGGTATGTATATTCAAAGGATTTTTTAAAATGAAAGTAAACATTTAATTTGTAATATGTGAAATTTGCTTTATAGCTTATTTTTTTAAATTGTAGTTGGTTGCTTCACTCTCAATTCTTATTAGAAATTTATATTCTCATTTTATAAATACAAATTACAAATTTTATTTTAGGAATTGAACAAGTGTAAAACTGAGTTACAATATTGGCGCTCCAAGTCACCAGCAATACCAGTGTGTGTAGGTTGTGGTCAGTCAATGCCAGTCCCTACAGAAGATTTACAAGCTTTAGCCAATCAGGGAGTGCTACCGGATGCGTTTGGCGAAGGGCACGATTTCATTCCCATCGCGGATGCTCATAGTCCCACCGAAGTGGTACAACAATCTGTAGTTACGCAATCTCCGTCGACGCCGACAGTGGACATGGCACCCCCAAAGGCTCCCGTGCCTTCAATATCTTTTAAACGGAAATCTATCGTGGAAGAAACGTCGGGCGATGCCGCGAAAAAATCACGTCGCACTGCCAAGTCTCGTCAGGCTAAGCGCTCAAAAATATAAATTGATAACACTGATCATGGTACAAATATTCAACCAATCTTTAATGGATTTCCGAAGATAGGGACTTTCTATAGTTTACGTGCGTTTCTTTATGTCAGCAAGTCGATATGATCTTAGAAGAGTACAAAATTCCTCACCGAACGTCCTGCATCTCGCGCAACGAACATCGTTTTAAAAATTTTAGCCGTATCGATTGCCGCGATTGTCAAGAACGCTAGTTGATTTTTCGATTATTTCACAAATTACCGTCGCCGATAAAAATGACTTTGATGAACATTCTAAAAAAGCCTAACCGATCATTCGCTTTGCTCGTAAAGCAACGTCCAACTTTCTCGAATTCTTATTAAATTCATTTGTTTTTTAATTATCATTACCGCGGTACACTTGAAGATGATAGAAAGTTGAAATCATGTGTCATGTTTGTGTTTGTCATGCATTTAACAGCGATATCGCACGAAAGAACATACTAAATAATATTATGGCGACATACATTCGCCTTCCATTTTGCTCTTCGATCAAAAATATGTGATTCTCATGTTATTTTTAAATGATATGTCCTTACTAGAATGTTGATTGGATATCGCGTCTTCAATATTTTGATCGAATAAGACAATACAGAAATAGAGAAGGCATTAAAATTTCATAAAGCAACTTATATAAATCGAATTTTGTGATGGAAACCAAATAATTTTTAGAAAATTGTAAATTAATTCGAGCATTTAAATCACATTCTATATTAATTGAATCGGTATAAAGCGAGTAATTTTTAGAAAATTTGTTCGAGTATTTCAATCGCATTCTCCATAATATAGCTTGCGGTGGTAACTCGTACATAAAGAATTTTCAGATCGAGTTTTTAAAAGAAATTTTATTTCATGATATTGTTAAAAAATATCACGGATTAAAATATCTGGGATAATTCATTTCGATTGTTTGTCCGGTATTACAAATACATCAATAGCTATATCAATTCGTTTTAATTCGTTATGCTCGTCAAATTAGAAAAATTGATATTTTTACAAGTAGTAAATGTTTTATCGTCCAATTGTATCATTTATGTTCATATGAATAGATTGAATGAATTCGTGTGGCTATAGATAAAATCAAAAAAATTTTATGATAAAAGTATCATCCCAATATTAAGACGCGGAACAAGAAAATGAAATCTTCGAAAAAGAATTTAAATTCTACTAAAGAGCAAAATGTTGATGGATACTTGGAAAGGTGTTAGTTTATTTTTATGAATACGTCATTTTACCAAACAAACAATTATGAGATGGCGTACACATTGCAATATTAATAGAACTAGATGATTATTTATAGGAATGATTCTATTTAGATAAAAGAATATTGGGTATCATGCCATTTTTGTATATTATTATAAATGCGGAAAAATGAAGTTTTGTTATGAATAAAATTAATAGCATTTGTATTTATGAGAGTAAATTTAAAATGGGGGACGTTCACATTTATAAATTATAAATTATAAAAATCAAGGATATTTGCAATCGGCTGCGGAAGTCTGATGGTTTACCTTACGCGATAAATTATTGGTACAGTAGGAGCAATTAATGTCTTATTTGCACCGATTACCCAATTAATCTCAAAGCAGCGTAGTTAGATATTGTGAGTTATTCATGATGATACTTATTAAAAAATGAAAAATACAGATAAATATATAAGTGAATGATACTTTATATATTACAAATATGTATGTATGTATGTCTTTATATATATGTATATGAATATATGTACGTATATATAAATACATATGTACGTATATTTGAGTGGTACTTGCCAGGTGCGCATACCACACGCAGAAACACTTTAGTTTAAACTTTAATGGAACAATAAGATATAACGATTAATTAATTAATTAAACAATTAATTAATTAATGATAAAATAATTGAAATATATATGAAAAATATATATATAAATATATATATATATATAATTTTTTATCGATGTCAAAAGGAAATTAGAGAAAAAGAAAAGCAGAGATAACTTAGGGTGTAACTATAATGGGAAAACGTTGCGGTGCGCATACGTGTGAGGTGAATGTGTGATATGTATGAGAATAATATACTAAATTTGAACTTTGACGAGAATTTACGATGTGATGCTTTATCGATTTAATCGCGGGAAAGTGACCTTTATCCGAAAAATATAAAATACACGTGGGGCGTTTCTGGTTGCGAACGAGTATGTAAAACTTCACTTAATGTTACGTTGAATAGCGCATTGCGGGGGCGGGCATAGCCAAATCGTACGTGTCGGAAATTTCGAAACGCTTGTACGTTCACTTGCAAAACGTCGCGCGCGACCAGCAGCGGCGTATATCACGAACATCTGTAGGATGAGACCATCCAGAAATTCGCATCGAGACTGTTTCGTCATTCGGCCCCTAAAAACGAACATATAAATCCAGGATCGACATCTACAGCGGCGAATTGTATCAGCATAAGTCGATGCCAATTTTGGTTGGCTGGCGAACTTACATTCTTTGTAATCTATTGAAATTTTTTAAAATTATTTTACAGGTGACCACGATATCCGGTAGTTTTGTGATATCCCGTATAAAAAGGACCGCAAGTTAATCATTAATATACTATCGGTGCAATCCAGCGTAAAAAATGAATCGACAACTTATCCTCTATTTGCACTTCTCTTAACTCAAAGAGAAATTATCAATCTGGCAAATTATCCATTCGGATAGTCGATGCAAATAAAAAGTTAATTTAAAAAGGTGACATTAGCGTACACAATATGAAATACTAATTATCCAATATAATTCAGTACTAATTTTGGTTAATTCATGTCTCTTTTTACTTAACGGATACGTAATGGATAAAGAAGGGATAGAGAATCGCCAACCAGAGTTGGGTGACTTGGACCGTCTCGTGCAATTCAGCCTAAACATACCTCACATATATATATATATATTATATATAATATAATATACGATAATATATTATATATAATATAACACCTTTAATGACGTCTTTCATTTGGCGTCGTCTTGAACAGTTCACGCTCCTCTCTTTCTCGGCTTTCCGACATAATCCGTCCCCGAACGATACAAATGTAGAACCGTGTACTACGCATATTATGGATCTAAGTTAGACGTACGATCGAATATAATAGTGAATATGCGAATTAGGAGTAGAATAATTTTCTAGACGGTAGAGAAGTGCTGTGCGCGCGGGGGGGAAGGAAAACGAAAGAGAGGAAAGAAGGATATATATATATATATATATCTCTCTTGGAATTACTTGCTTCACCCCGAAATCTTACTATCTGCAAGCGTATTAATATGCAAGCAACGGTCCTTGCCTCAGGTACACAATAGACAAATACCCATGATGATACCGAAATCGTGTACACTTCACGGAGACAAAAACGATGATATAGGAACACAATTTGCCAGCGTTACAGTGAGGTGCGCTGTAACGCCGAGGAATAATATTGTCTTAAATGGTTTTACGTGTATTAAAGCGATTGTAAATATATATATTAGATACACCTTATAATAAACATAATTTAACATATCTAACGTTCTAACTTCAGTCTATCACGCGCGTACTACTTGAAAAACTAAAAATTCATATATTTCAGATTAAATTATTTGCTAATTATTTTACTATATTATTGCAACATTATATATATATAAATAATTATAATTACTGAATTTTAATCAATTGTCATTCGTAATGTGATAAAAAGGGATCTTGTAAACTCTTTGTGTTCATTTATATTATAGTCTTCTAAAATTCTTAAATTTTTGCTTAATTTTATTTTTCTTTTAATACAAGTCATAAGTTTTCATAAGACATCTTTTTGCAGTTCAATCAATCATCTTTTGTAACAGATCGTTAATTATATTGATGTTATTAAATTGTATCATATTGTCTTATATTATATAATACTTTCAATGATATAATTAGACTATCAGTCTCGTGTCTTATTAATCGTTATAAAATAATTTTAAAGTCATGATGATTATTTTATAAAAAATGTAATACCTAACATGTATATTTTATATAATTAATTAATATACTAAATAAGTCAACAAATTAAGAAGTTGTAACTATGGTTTTTATAAGTACGAAATGTGAAAGATAGTTTTTTTTCTTTTTATTCAATTAATCAAACCACTGTTAAGACTGAGATTTTTTTCAATTCTGCTAACGAGATATGGGGTCTATTAATATTTATTTCTACCAAGTAGATTAACTTTATTCTCAGATTAACTTATCTAATAATTAAAAACAGATAAAAGAAAGTTAAACCGAGAAAAGTTAATCTATGTTAAAGAATTGAACATGATAAGTTTTTATAAAACAAGCTTATTTCAATTCTAGAGAGAAAGAAAAAGGCGAGAGAAAGATTAAACTGAGATGAGCAGATGCATCAGCATTCTTTTAATTATGTTTATTTTGTGCTTCCTTCCTCTTTTAATGCTACTTTTCTCTTTCATCTTTCAATTGACTGCGCGCTCGTTCTATCTTGAGCGCAGAAAGTGCAACATAGCGCGGCTGAAAGTAACTAGTAACTAGTATTATTCACTAGTCTTTCCATTTCCGTCAAAGATGGTAGACACCACGCAAAAGTATCATTACGGGACAAATACGAGTATCATTACGAGATCGTTCGCGGTGTCGTGATCGAGTGTGACCGAAGAATCTTGTGCAATCTAATGTGCCTTGACCTTCCGAAATTTTCCTTCTTTACGCATTTAAATCTCGAGTCGATCATCTTATGATCATTCTCCGATCATAACCGTTTCATGTACGCTTTTTGATTTCTTGCTGCTTCAGCAAGAGGTAGTTGGAGTCCCGCAAGACCGACCATGGCAGATTCGTTGCATAAGGATGGATATGAGAATCGTGAGTAAATAGAGAAAAAGAAAAGAAAACAAAGCTTTCCTTTCTGTTGTCCTATCGTGCGATTTTCTGCACGCTTGTTCCTGGTTACCTGCCCCGTCCTGTACTTTTTACACTCGGGAACAACTTGCGTTAGGTTCCCGGAGGATGAAAAGCGTGAAAGGCGCAACTCCAGGTGGAGAAAAAGGTACCAGTCATTCGAGTCCATTCACCGATCACGGTGCGTTCAGGTTCAACCATTATATTTCTTTGAACGTATCCTGACTATTCCTGACGTTCACTTTTGATGCCGTTGCATAACAATTCCGAATGCAGCCATTGTTCCTAGATGATAGAGGAGGGGAAAAGCGTTTCCCACTCTGGAATTTCTTTATGCGCAGTCGAATCTGCGCAACCGACCACGTGATTACTTTGGCAACTTCGTGTTTACATGTATATAGTGCGTCTGCTAACATCTGCTGACAGTACTGATACTTGCATGTCGTGTTTAGCCATTTATTTTAGAAGCGCTACTTTGACCAATTTTTAGCTGCATTATGTTCATATATTTTTTTATTTCAAAATAAAACGAATATATATTTGGAAAATGTACGTTAGCCGTGTTTTTCTATCGGATTTATTTGGCGTAGTGAAAATGCATCGAGTAAGTATATTTTTATTAAGATTTGAAGTAAGGAGAGTAAATAAATAAATAATATTCCTAAATAAATAGTATTCCAAAAACAAACAATTTTTCATTCTAAAAAATGTAAATGTATAAAAAGGAAAAACAGATAAGTAAGCATAAAAAATAAAATGGATACATAAGTATGTGTAAAGGATTTGGAAAGAAAGATACCAAGTGAAAGGCAAGAAAAGAAAGTTTAAATCTATGTAGTAACGTATATTGTTTTATTTATTTATAAAGAGATGATTGTGAAACTACATCGTTGTCTATAGGTGTATTATCACCTGTCGTTAAGTGCTGATAATTCTTATTACTGATTAAACTAGTCCTTAGTTTAAATAAAACTAGTAAAATGTAAATAATGTAGTCTTGTATTAGTTACCTCAGAAAAATAAAATATTTATAATACAAGTTTTTTAAAAATTTCTGAAGTATTTATTAAATTTTAAAAATATATTTAATATATTTTTTTAATAAATAAAAAATATGTAGAAAAGACATACAGGTATGATAAACATATATCAATATATTTGCAAATATTTAGTTTTCTATGTACAGTCAAATATGTGTTTCAATTAATTTTATTCCATTTGGATTTACTTGATATATTTTTATTTTTTAAATATAATTGTAGAATTGTTACTGTTAACATTTTTTAATTCCAATTTTTTTTCTTTTATCTTTAAAACACAAAAGACTACACTCTGATTAAAACTATACAATCATATATTCGAATTAAATGTATATGTGCGTATTGTATGTTTGTTGAAAGCAGCTAATTTGACGATGCGTGCTAGCAGTGGTAACATAGAATCAGACAATGACATGAAACTGGAGCCGTCTAGTCCCACAGAGAAATATACCTTCTCCCGTTGTAGTAGCACAGGGTCAGTTCACACACCGTCTTCTTCCGCACATAATACAGGTAAGTATTTATTTTCCACCAAGTATTTGTTCAGTAATATAATTGACTAACTGACGAATGATATGTTCAGAAGATGAAGATAGCGATAACAAAATAAGCTATAAGGAGCGCAGGAGAGAAGCTCACACGCAGGCCGAGCAGAAGAGACGGGATGCTATCAAGAAGGGTTATGATTCTCTTCAGGATTTAGTTCCAACTTGTCAGCATACGGACTCCTCAGGCTATAAGATTTCCAAGGCTACAGTACTTCAAAAATCCATCGATTACATACAGTTTCTATTGCAACAGAAGAAGAAACAAGAGGACGAACGTAATGCACTAAGAAAAGAAGTCGTCGCGTTGCGCATTATGCAAGCAAATTACGAACAGATTGTCAAAGCACATCAGACGCAACCAGGACAAGCAGAATTGCGTATCTCGGACGAGATGAAGTTTCAAGTGGTAATGAAAATATTTGTTCTTTCTGTTTAAATTACAATTATGATTACTATATGATTTTTATTATGTTGCAGTTCAAGGCAATAATGAATCGCCTTTTCGAAACGTTCAATATCTCTGTAGCTAATTTTACGGAATTATCTGGCTGCGTGTTTAGTTGGCTGGAGGAACAATGTAAACCTCAGGTAAATAACTATATTTTTTATACGTTCTCTATTTTATTTTCTAAATTGTATGAAATTTGATTTAAATATTAATTTCTTAGACTCTACGCCAAGTAGTACTCTCGGTACTACAACAACTCACAGTCGCTGACAATCAAATCAGCTAATCAAGTGCATTTTCGAGAAAGGTATCCGCGCGTCTGCACAATAGCAGCTTTTACATGAACAATCTTACCTGTCGATTTTGTTGAAAAACTTTCAAAATTGTAGTTAAGTAAGTATGTACGTGTAAATAAGTACACTTCTAAAAAGGTAAGAAACAGTCTTTAAAAGCTCGAATAATAAGAACATGGGCGGATTGGTTCATCAGATAACCAAGCAAATTTTTCCACATATTACTTGTAGCTCTCAAGGAAAGGGGCTCTGCATTAAAAGAAAAAAAACGAAAAAAA